TCATCCTCAGAAGCTTCAGTTTCTTTCAAACTTTCTTCAAACTTGGTCGGAGCATTAGAATTGGTGAAACACATGAACTTCTTGACTGAGGTATGGACTGCCAAGTTGCCTGTGTGCAAAGAAGGTTCATTTGTACCTTCTTCATGTGAATCTTCCCAAGTTGCCTTCAGTGACTTATTCTTCTTCTTAAGATTTGCACACTCATACTGGAAGTGTACAAAGCCTCAACACTCCCTGCATTGATCCTTCTCAAATCGTTGTGAATCAGATTTTAAGAGTGACATACTACTTTTCTTGTCCTGCACCACATTCTTGCTGAAGTTGTTCCCCTTTTTTCCAGCAAATTTGTTCTTGTACAACATTTGACTCATCTTCCCATAGTTTCGCGTGATTAGAGCTAGTGCTTTTTTCAGCTCACTATCATCTGCCAACGAAACTTCATCATCATCGCTTTCTTCTCTTTCCTCGACTACAACAACATTGAGAGCTAAGCCCTTACTTTTGACTTTGTCATAATTGTTGTTGATCTCAAACGTTCTGAGCTCTCCAAGAAGTTCATCAACATCCAACGACGCCACTCTTTGGAAACTTTCAAGAGCTGTGATTTTCTCTCTAAAACTAGGAACGACGGTTCTCATAATCTTTTGTACTTGACGTTTCTCAGAGATTTCTTCTCTAAGCATCATACTTTGATTTACCAGATCACAGAATCTGGCATAGTATACGTCAATTGTCTCTACTTCCCTCATTTTGATCTAATCAAATTCAAGAGTTACCCGTTGAAGTCTGGACGCTTTAACAGCCGTTGAACCTTCAAATTGACGCTGTAAGGCCCTCCAAGCATCTTTTGCAGTTTTGCAATGAACTATCATCTTATGTCTTGTCTGATCAACTGCCATCATAATCGCATACAAGGCACGATAGTTGGCTTCTTCTTGAAGCTTCTCAGCATCAGTTCAGTTGTCCTTAGTTTTAGAATCGGTGACTTTTGTTGTTTCTTTACCTTGATCAGGTGCTTGTTGCATGACTGGATGCTCCCAGCCGTTTTCAACACTTTTCCACAGGCCTTTTCCAAGCGATCTCAGAATGATTGTCATCATAGACTTCCAATATCAGTAGTTCGAACCGTCCAATTGCGGGGGCCTGGACATCGATCCGCTTTATTGATTCATGATTTGAGGGTAACACACGTCCTAAAATCTTTCGTAATGAAGACGAAATCCCGCTCTGGTGCCAATTGAAATTTGATACTTAAACACCAAGTATCCAGAGATGCACGTAAAATGACGAACATACAGTAATGAATATTCAAACAATTGCTGAAGCAGTTTTCACTAAAAATTGAACCTTCAGGAGAGCATCCCACTCTCCCTTCAGATCTCTTTCATTAATGTGAACAACTCATACGTCATCCAAGGGTTTACAGTATAGACTCCCTCTACACTCTACTTGAATAATGATTCACACGACTACTTATCTGACCACAACTCCATTGTGGAATTTTCTAGTTCGAATTCCTCAAATAAATCAGAATTAACCTCCGAACATTCTGTTACAAAGAAGTTATGTGTTCTGCCTATTACTCAACAAAAGAAAAATCTCAAACACAAAAATCCCGATCAAAAAAGTACTCCTCAACTCTAGTCTCTGCCTCCTTTTATCTTTAGCATCCTTTGGAAAGTCTTTTCACCCAAGACAAATGCGGATAAGGAATGTAAATCTCTTGAACTTCTTCATCTTCGATTATGGAAGGTGAATCTCGCGATCCTCCTTCTTTTCAGATTATGGAAAGTGTATCTCCCCCTCAATCTCAAAGTCCTGCCACAATAATAACATAAATTATCAGTCCCTTGCACTTAAACAGAAGCAAAACTTATTCATACCAAAAATAAACTTCCCTTAAATACTTCCGTGAATTTCTGGACTTTGTGATCATCATAAAGTTCATCGAATTACTGCCAATCTTTAGTACTTACAGTTAGTATATGTTGATGTTAGATAAGTGGTAAGGTGTCCGTGTTAGTTATGCGCTCGAGAGTTTGATTGTTTATTTGAGCCAATTTATCCCTATATTCGTCCTCCATTTGATGCCGACACTGCAACCTGGAAGTCCCATTGATTTGAAAATTCATTATCTTTGATTGATTTAGAGTTTGAATAGACAATAAGCAAGCTTATGCTGATACATGATGATCGACCAATTTTGAGTAACCCAGTTTTATATTCATGAAAGAAACTGAGTGAGACATCCTTTTGTTATACTTCCATGCTTCATAGTTATTCGTTTCAAGATGTTGCATTCTAGTGTAGTCGAGATATGCGTGATTGGTCATTGGAAGTCTCCTCGACTGAGTTAACTAATCTGAGGCTTGTCTTATTTTTTTTTTTTTTTATCGAAACGATAGGATTTATACCATCAGAAAAGATTATACAATGTCGGGGGCTAAATAGCCCGATGACTTGCCTAACAAGACCAAGAGGAACACAAACAGTGCCCTAAAAACAAAACAAGATACTAGAAGGTTCCCTTCACTTGACAGTGATCAAACAAAGATCTCAAGGAAGAATTCCATCTAGTTACAACCAAAAAGGGCTAAACTACTGATCAAAGACCCTAGCTTAGCCCACTACTAGCAATCAGCAGAAGGCAAACAAAAAAGCAACAAAGTCTGAGTAATTACAACTAATATACAACAAAAGGAACAAACAGTCCCAGACTGCAAGCAGCAAAAGGTGGATTAACTAGCATGAAGGCAACTGAGACACTCTTGAATATTCAAGCCACTCCTCCAAAGCAATATTCACCACATCCATTTCTGATCGCCAAGTATTTTGAAAAACTCACATATTTCTAGCCTTCCAAATCCACCAAAGTAAGTAAGCTGAAAACTGTACTCTAGCTTCATTGTCAGCTGATTGATTGAGTGAGCTGATCTTGGACCACCAATGAGGGAAGCTGTCTGAGAGGTGATCAATTCCATCCCAATCAATTGGAGCTAGATTCCATATTCTTCTTGAGATAGCACATGAAAAGAACAGATGATTAAGTGTTTCTGGGCCATCTCCACATCTGCTACATCTTACTTCAACAACTACTCATTTCTTTGCCAGATTAGAACTAATTGGAAGTGTGTTGTTTAAACATCTCCACAAGAAATGTTTTATTTTACCTTTGATTTGCAGCTTCCAAAGTCTCTTCCTCGTATGCTTCTTCTCTGCCTGACCATTGCTAGCTTCTGCTATATCAAGGAGTTTCCATTTTTCACACACCAGATAGTCATAAGATGCTGCTACAGAATGCTTCCCATTCTTCCCACATTGCCAGATGAGCCTGTCCTCCTCTTAAGGATTGAGGTTTTTAATTTTCAGAATGGCCTTTGTTTCCTCTTCTGTAAAGAAATTCTGCACAATATCCAAATTCCAGTTTCTACCAGTCTCATCAATGAGGTCTTGCACTTTTGTCATATCTGCTGGGAAGTTTGGATTTCTTGAGGGCTTAAATCCTTTCAAATCTGGAATCCAAGGGTGGTCAAATATATAGATTTTGTCCCCTTTTTTAGCTTCATATCTGAGCCCTTGTGGGAATGAATCTCTGACCTTGAGCCAGCTGTGCCAAAGCCACGAGCCTGTTTGCTTTTGCTTGACAGAGAAAAAGTTCTCTTTAGGGAAGTATTTTGCTTTAAGACACTTGCTTACCAACATGTTTGGATGAGTTAGAATTCTCCATAGCTGTTTGGTAATAAGTGCCTTATTCATCAAGTGTATGTCATGAAATCCAATACCCCCTTTATCCTTGGGTAATGTCAGCAAGCTCCAAGATTTCCAGTGCAATTTCTTCCCCTCTGATTTTCCTGTGTTCCACCAAAAAAAAGCAAAAAGGCTTGCAATTTTGGCACAAACTGATTTAGGGATAAGAAAGCAAGACATTGAGTAATTAGGTAAAGCATTCAGCATAACCTTCAAAAGGATTTCTCTCCCAGCAGCTGACAAGAACCTGTTCTTCCAATTCAAAATTTTTTTTTCAATGGTTTGGGAGATAAAAGAGAAGGTTTCCACCTTATTACTCCCAATACCCAAAGGCAAACCCAAGTATCTCGAGGAGGACTGGGGTGTGACACCCATGAGGATAGAACAGATGGAAGATTGAACAGCTTGAGGGGTATTTTTACTGAAAAACACGGAAGATTTTGACAGATTCACTCTTTGGCCTGTGATTCTCTTATAGTTATCCAAAATGGATAGAATGTTTTGAGCTTGGGATGTTTCAGCTTTCGCAAATAATAAAGTGTCATCTGCGAAGAAAAGGTGCGAAAGAATAGGCCCATTTTTTGAAATTTTAATGCCCTGCAGATGACCATTCTTGATATCTTTCTTTATCAGATAGGAAAGAATTTCTGAGACTAGAATAAAGATATAGGGAGAAAGGGGATCCCCTTGCCGAATGCCTCTCGAAGGCTTAACATATCCAGAAACATCTCCATTGACATTGAAAGAAAAGGAAGCTGAAGAAATACAAGCAATGATCCAATTCACAAAAACAGTACTGAACCCAAGCTTAAGCATAATCAGACTCACACTTCCCCATTCGACTCTGTCAAAAGCTTTTTCCATATCGAGTTTAAGAGCCATATAGTAATTGCGCCCTGACCTATGCCTATTAAGGAAATGCATCACCTCATGGCCAATTATAACATTATCTAGGATTTGACGGTTATGCACAAAAGCAGCTTGATTTTCACTAATGCAGATAGGCAACCAAGGTTTCAACCTTTTAGCAATGATTTTAGATATAATTTTATAAATGATACTACAAAGGCTGATTGGCCTAAAATGAGACACAAGGCAGGGGTTTTGAATTTTAGGAATGAGGGTAATAAGAGTATGGTTTATGCTTTTGAGAAGTTTACCAGAATCAAAAAAACTTTTCACCCCATTACACAGCTCGTCCTGGATCAAATTCCAGCAATTATGAAAAAAGAGAGAGGTCATACCGTCCATACCGGGGGCTTTGTTGGGGTTGATGTTGAAAAGGGCTTCTTTGATTTCATCTTTTCTAACAGGTGCCTCAAGTTCAGAGTTCATTTCTTCATTAATAACTGGCATCATGTCCTGCAGAGCACTTTCCCCATTCTGAGTTCCTTCTGATGTGAAGAGCTGATGGTAGAATTCTTCAATACACTGATCGATCTTCTCTTTATTATCACACAGGGTGCCATCTTCTTTATTGAGTCTCACAATGGTGTTCCTCTTCCTTCTTTGCACAGTTTGGGCATGGAAGTATCTGGAATTTTTGTCGCCATGCTTAAGCCATGTAATTCTAGCCTTTTGTTCCCAGTGCTGCTCTTCTAGTTTATAGGCTTCATTAAGCTTCTTTTTAGTATCATCCCATCTTTTCCAGTCAATTAGCTTCCCATCACTCCTCATTTCTGACAGCTCATTATGCAATTTGGAGATCAGTTTAGCTGTTTCAGTTCTGAATTTGCAACTCCATTTTAAGAATTCCACTCTTGTTTCTTTGATTCTTTGCATAACAACGTACAATGGAGTTCCCTCTTGCTGTTTTTTCCATGCCTTTTCCACCGATTCTTTGAAGCCCGGTTTAGCTAGCCATCTTCTATCAAACATGAATCTTTTCCTTCAATATATATGCCCTTGAGTGCAATCCAGTAGCAACAGACTATGATCTGATGAGCTCTTAAATATATTGTGGACTGAGGCATTCATATAGGCAGCTGACCAGGCCAATGATCCAAACAATCTGTCAAGTTTTTCTTCCACGAATCCTTCGGCTTCTCTATTATTTCCCCATGTGTAGGGATGACCAACCATTTGGGTTTCTGACATCCCCATATTGCTGATGAAGTCTTTGAGATGTTTGCAAGAAGCAGGAGATCTTAGCCTTCCCCCTTTTTTTTCCTCTGGATTTCTGATGTCATTAAGGTCACCTCCCAAGAACCAGAAGTCTCCCCATTTTCTTTTCTCTTCCACTAGATGAGTCCATTGTTCTTGCCTTGTGTTGTTATCAGTGCTTGCATATATGAAAATCCCCCAACAAGTGCATGACTTAGCTTCATCCCAGAATTCTACTTCAATACAAAATGTATGCTTGATGATCCTGAAAACTTGAATCTCTTTGCTCCAACAAAGAAGAAGACCCCCACTTCTTCCATTAGGTTCAACAGATGACCAACAATCTCCCATAGCTAGATTTCTACAGACTGTTGAAATAAAATTATTCTTTTTTTTTTGTTTCACTAAGAAAAAGAAAACTGGGGTGATGGAGTCTCCAAATCTCCTTGATTTGGGAAACTGTAGAGGGGCCACCCACACCTCTACAGTTCCACACCGCTACCTTCATTGATCACCGTGTGGCCCTGAAAGGCTGGCCACCTTCACCTCAGAATCAGTAAGCTTTTGCTTCTTGTGATTGATGTTGGAGATCTCTGTTTCCTCATTTAATTCTGGATCCTCTGTGGTTGACAAACACAAGTTGGTTCTTTTGTTTCGGGTTATTTTAGTGGTAACTGGGGGGTTATTGCTAGAAGAAGTGATTGCTATTCTTTTCTAAGTTCTGCCTTTACCAGGTGGTGAGGTCTTTGCAGCAGAGATGATAGGAGCTGCAGATTTAGAGGGTTTTGGATCAGTATCCATATCTACTGGTGGTAAGGGAATGAGGATGGTGGCATTATCAGGGGTACCAGTAGTAGAATGTATGCTGGGATTGGTTAAAGAAATGGTATGAGATGAAGTTATTTTGTTTGGATGAGGTAGTTGGGTATTAGGTTTACTGGTAGCTGTATGGTTAGAAGTTTGATGGGTGGATTTTGAGGATGAATTGGATTGAGGATTGGTTAAGATATTTTGATCTAAATTTGAGTGAGGTTTGGTGGAGTTAGGCAGGTCTAGGTGGTTTTCTGAGGTTTGTCTATTGCTTGTATGGCTGAAGGTTTGGGTTTCTCCAAACTGGATATTTTGTGTTAGGGACCATGGGTAGCCAATCTCCAACGCCTTGAGCCATTCCCCATACATGCCTCCTTTCACTTTGTTCTGGTCAATGTCCTCTACTCTCTTGCTGCAGTTTTTATCAATGTGGCCAAGGACACCGCAATAGTAGCACAGACTAACCAGTTTTTCGTATTTGAATTGCACCTGAGTAACTTTTGCTCCCAGTTGTATGTGGGTACATCGCAGCAATGGTTGGTTTATGTCCATAGAGACAAGCAGCCTCAAGCATTTACTAGCAAGGAAGCCTCCCTGTGGCACTATGACATCTTTTGTTTTCGGGAACACTCTCCCCAGCTTGACTCCCACCTCAGTCGACATCCAGTTTAAGGGAATATTCCACGCCTGCACCCAAATATCCATCTGTTGAAATTCCTGATGCTCGGGGTGTAAATCCTCCCTCCAGTCTTTTAAAATCAGGAATTGATTTTCAAAGGTCCAGCATAAGCCCTTCAGCACTTTTGCTTTATCTTCTTCATTTGCAAAAATGAATTGGAAGAAGTTTGTGCTTATTTCTTTAACAGAGACCGAAGCTCGAATCATCCACATTTGCGTAACCGCTCTCCGTAGCCCTACAAGCCCAGCTTTTTTCTGTCCAATAATTTTTCCCACAAGACTTCGAGAGCAGTCTTCCGCACTAGTATGAATATCCGATATCTCAATACCAGTAATGTTAGCTTCATTTTCTGATAGTTGCACTTCTCCCAGCTTTTGGATTATATCAGATTCCATGAACTCTGAACTCTAATGCACTCTGAGTCGAGGATCTGAAATCCAGGAATGGAAGAAAACCAAGGGACGACAAAAGAGAAAAAGACAGCAGCAAAAACCGAAAGAGAGAAACCCTAACTATAAATCAGATCCCCAATTATTAATGGCTCGAAAACTAGAGGACAGAGACTAAAGGAAGTTGTAAATCTGACCTGATTAATCTGATAATCCACAATTTTGCGGAATGCTAGAGCATTAAGCTGGAATTTGCTCGCCAATGGAGAATGAACTCTCAGGAGAGAGAATGTAAAGTGAGGCTTGTCTTATTTGAACTGTTATCCATGCTTGTTTGCTTGTTTCATGTGTCTTTTCTTTTCTTTTTTTTTGTTCGGGACGAACAAAGGTCTTAGTGTGGGGAAGTGGTTTGTCCCATTTTTGTTGCTATTTTCGTTGGTATTTTGTGTGTCGTTTTCTCGTTTTAGGTCATTTCTTAGGATTTTTTGGTCATTTAGTCGTTTCTTGTGTTTTAGTATTATTTATGTTTGTTTACTGTTTTCGTTGTTTTTCCTCCTATTTTCTCTTGCTTTTGTGTTTTTGTGGTGGTAATGATTTCAGGTTAGAGATAAGAAAGTATCCCGTTCCGGCTGCTTGGGGATCCAGGCTGGTCCGTACGACTCAAACACGTGGGGATCGAGTTTTCTAGCTCGGGCAGAACCCGAGTGATGCTTTCCGAAAGCACACGAGCCTGAAACCTTAAGATTTCGAAAGCTTCCCAGACCTTAGCGCCGCTAAGGCCATAGCACCGCTGTGGCCAACCCAGCTAGCGGCGCTGCGCAGCATAGCGATGGGCAGACGCTGGAGCCTTTTCGCCCATAGCGGTGCTAAGGGGTTAGCGCCGCTATGCCTTGATATGTAAAAGTCGCAATTTTAGAGGGCTTTCGAATTGAAAAAAAAAAAGGGTCGAGCCTAGGGCATTTTTACACATTCACAGACATCGTAACTTCAGTTTTTCTTCACCAAAAACACATCTTTCACTCTTTGATTTGGTTTTGGGTATGAATTTTGGAGATTAATAACTCATTTTCTAGCTTTTGGATTTGGTTTGCTCATTGTTCTTTCGACATTGGATTCACTTTTAATCGTAAGCACTCCTTTTCATTTTGTGTATAAATATGATGGCTTGGGTTATTGATTATTTTGATGTTGAATCGATCATGAGTAGCTAAATTTATATGCTAGGGAATATGGAATTGATGTTTTGAATTCGTTTGCGATTATCATGTTCGTGGTTGTTCAATTTGTACGAGTTAAGCTTTTTTCTAGGGTTTTTCAATCTTTGTTCATGGGTTTCGAGAATTGTTGAAGGGTGACACCAACGTCCAATTATTTTAATTGAATTCGCTTAATTCGCGCATTAGGTTGATAATTCTGAATGGACTAGTTGATTAACCACCTCCTAGTCTTCTTTAATCTACTCTTAGAACCGAAAGGGGAAGAGTCGATCGAAATAGGCTCGTATAAACTAGGCTTGTTCGTTATTGTATTACCTAGGTGTTAAATGACTTGTTAACTTGTCGTTTAAGTTTATGCTCTTGTTACGAAAAGTTATTGAGAATGAGTGCTTGAACGTGCCGGTTATTCAAATCACTTAACCTAACAATCTCTTGCTTGGTAATCGCATTTCGAACTAAAACAGATATCCCCGACTCCCTAGCTTCTTAATCTTACTTGCTCTACGTGATCGCTTGCTATTTAATTTGCTTATTTGAATTTTTGCAGTAGTTGATTGTTTGTACTATTTTTGTTGCATTTTTCCTTATTGTTTTTTTCTTCGTTTTCCTCATTTTAGGACTTTTTATTGGTTTTTATTCATTTTTATGATTTATTATGTGTTTTGATCTATTTTGCTTTTTCTTGTGTTTTCGTGTATTTTTCCCGTTTTCTTCTTGTTTTTGGTGTGCATGCAAAAAATCCTGTGAGGATTGGATTAAGCTCGAAAATCGACCATTTAAGAACAATTAACTAGATAAGTTAGTTGGCGACAAGTGAGAAAAAGCGGAATTCGATTTCGAGTTCAGATGAATCCAAACGGGGCCAAAATGTAAAGTTGAGCAAGTTACCGACCCTTTAAGGATTGGAAGTTCCACAAAATTTGTATTCTAAGCAAAAGTGTGGTTTGCAAGCATCATTGGATAGAGGGCTTCATTAGCTACGCATAAGAAAAAACGAAACTCAATTCCGAGTCCAAATGAGCCCGAACGAGCGAAAACTGTGATGACATGCAAGTTGCCGACACAGTAGCGGCGCTAGCTAAGTAGCGCCGGGGGCAACCTTTTCTCTGTCGGCATAGTAGCGGCGCTAACCACTAGTAGCGGCGCTACTACCCCTTTTTCTACCAACTTATGATTTTTAAGCTCATTTTTTGTGATGGTTGGTACTCAATCTCTTCAATCTTCTTCAATGGCGTGAAATACACCACAAAGTGACATTTTCAGCTATTAATCTTAAGCAAGAAGGGGGATAATTTGGCTATAGAAGGGGAGCATTTACAAGCTTGAAGATCATCCCATTTCTCCCTCATTTTCACCTTGCATGGTTTGAACAAGGAGGGGTTCTTCCCCTTCTTTCCCTCTTTTTCTTTTCTTCTTTTCTTTTCTTTTCTTTTCTTCTTATTGTATTTTTCTTCATTTTGTATTTTGGAAGAAGCTTGTATTTGGATTCAACACTTGTAGGTTGTTATGTAAGTTTGTTTTCTCTGTGAATTAATTCATGCATAATGGTTAATTTAGGAGAAATGTTTTGCTGTGTTGAATTTGATATGAGTAGCTAATCCTCTAGCTATGGGTATGGGATAATCATTTCGGTTTGATTTCGTTTATGTGCATGACGATAGCTCAATCTTGACGAGTTGTTTTAATTATG